AGGAAGCCTGCTACATGCACTCAAGAAGACGGTCACCAAAAGCGGGACCAGACTGCTCACGGAACGCTTATGTGAGTACAGCTGACGAACAACTCAGACTCATCACTGACACATCCAAGCTGCGCCTTCCATGTCGTTGTCAACTATCAACGATCGACTTGATCTTGTAGAGGAGGCCATACAGTACCCGCAGCTCCGTCAGGACATCATGTTGCTCCTGGAGCAAACGTTCGACTCTCTACGATTGGTGACCAAGTTCACGTATGGCCGCGGCGATGCGGACGACCTCATGGAGCTGTCGAAGACTATCCTTATCACCTCCAGTATCGTAGACGTCCTTCATGAGCACGCAACTTCGAGGAACTCCATTCCACTCGATACAGCATCAGCCACATCGGATGTTCGAAGACGACAGTGCATTCCCATGCTGGCGCGGCGATTCGATCTAGCACAACCGCTCGAACTTGCGCATCGTATACAGCATGCGATCGATGAAGACGGCCTCTCCGAGTACCACCGCATGGAGAACGAAGAAGCTGAGGAAATGTCAGACTTGGCCCAGGATGTGATCGGTCGAGAGGCTGGGGAAGAGGATCTGAAGAGCTTGCCGAAGCGCGTTCAGCCGAAACTTACCATGATCACTGGGAGCTTCAAGAGCGCGACTGATGGGAGAGAGGATGTCAACATCATGAGGCGCAATGCTAGTGCGACCCTTGAGCGTCTTCACAAGAGTTTAGACAAGATGGCAGACGCAAAGGCCAACCTGGAACAAGAGATGCGTCAGAAGATGGGAACAGAAAGCTTGGTGCTGAAGTGGACCCCAAACCTCGCGCACATTGCTCACGTCAAGGGTAAAGACGCAGCTCGGGCTACCGCCTTTTACCCAAGAAGCTTGAGTAGCAGCAAGTCCACTCGCTCATTTCAAATTCCGGAATGGACTCAACTAGGCGCACAAATGGACGAGACACGATTCCGAATTCGATCAGAAGAACAGCGTGTTCTCAGCGAGCTGCGCGAAGGTGTCGTCCAGAACCTTGTGAAACTTAGACGTAACGCCGCGGTGCTCGATGAGCTTGATGTCGCATGCGCATTCGCTACACTCGCGATGGAGAAAGATCTCATCAGACCCATACTGAGTGCAGAGCCATCGCATAACATTGTCGGTGGTCGGCATCCCGTCGTGGAAGCTGGTCTCAGCGAACAAGGCCGCCGATTCGCCCCCAACGACTGCCAACTCGGCGAGAAAGAGCGCATTTGGCTCATCACCGGTCCGAATATGGCAGGCAAGAGTACCTATCTGCGTCAGAATGCACTGATCACTATCCTAGCGCAGACTGGATCTTTCGTTCCAGCCGAGTATGCCGAGATTGGACTGGTCGACAAGATCTTCAGTCGCGTTGGATCAGCAGACAACTTGTACCAAGATCAATCAACGTTCATGGTCGAGATGCTTGAGACAGCTCAGATCCTCAAAGAAGCTACGCCGCGTTCTTTCGTCATCATGGACGAAGTCGGTCGGGGAACAACACCCGAGGACGGCATCGCTGTAGGGTACGCCTGCCTTCATCACCTCTACCACGTCAATCAATGTCGAACGCTTTTCGCAACACACTTTCACGCGCTTACGGACATGACAAAGGACTTTGAGGGATTAGGCTGCTACTGCAATGATGTCCTTGAGGAACCAGATGGCAAGTTCTCCTACGTGCATCGGCTGAGGGAGGGTGTCAATCGCGAGAGCCATGCGCTGAAGGTCGCGAGAGTTGCTGGTAAGTCATGTGCTTCAGAAGTGCAGTTTCGGAGATAGTTGCTAACGAATACAGGTCTTCCTGAAGATGCCGTTGCAATCGCAGCGCGGGTCCTCAAAGACCTCAAGGGACGGACGGACGTATCGACTAATCAGCGCGCTAGTCGAAAAGAGTAGGGGAAGGTGGATCTACTGTGACGAAAAACCGCGGGCGACAACGGTGTGGGTGGAGATGATTGCCAATCATGAAATCGATCCGGTTTTGTGAGTATATTGTGTTTGCGCTACTTCAAGGGTTGCATGGCTTGATCAAGCTACGTCCTCTCGAAAAGAGAAGTATCGTCAACACAAGAGCTTACGATGCCTGAGCCTGGATATCGTCGGTGTGCTCTTGAAGAGCGTAGTGAAAGTTCTGGAATACCGTATACTATAACGCCTCATGATCAGACTTGCAGCGACTGTCGTATTGGCAATCGAGGACCTCTCCACTATGTCATCGAGACATCTCTGCTCGTTTTCAAAGTGCTGTAGAACCTCGAGGGTGATTTCATTGTTAGTACGAAGAAACCTAGTCGAGGGGTCCTCGTTCGCTGCCTGATCTGATGTGCGCTCTTGGTATAGTTACACCACTTTCTCACCCTACTTACCTGCAGTTGAACTTCCAATCTATGACGAACAACTCTACATTCAACCAAGGACCGCCATGATGTCGATGCGTCCACAACCGAGGAAGCGATCAGCGAGAAGCAGGGAGAGGTTACGGCGAGCATCACTGATGCGAGCTCACATGTAAGTCATCCTACAGAATACAATGCCTACAATTAACGCATGGCAAAAAGCTCCGAGCGCAATGCAACCGCCTCGCCCCTCCTCCGCCTGCCCGCGGAACTTCGAAACGCCATCTTCGCCTACGCGCTCAACCATGACACTTTGGTTTCCGCTCTCTCAATGTCAAGTAATGACACGGTCAAATTTGCTCACCGGAATCCGATCAATCTCCTGTTCGTCTGTCGCCAGATCCATTCCGAAACAGCGCATCTTCCTTACAAGCTGAACTCATTCGTGATCAATGCCTATCACCCTCGCACTATTGCCACGTTCCTCAACCGCCGAACGTCAGCTCAGATTAGGCTCATGTTGAACGTGACGGGAAAATGGACAAAGCGTAAGCGCCGGCGCGGCGAAATCTGCGACAAGCGCATGTCTGCGAGTGAATGGATAATGTGTCTACGTACACAAGGGGATACGGCCGCCGAATTTTGGATATAACTGTAGTTACAAATTTTGGCGTATCTTGAAGGAGAAAGCGCGATGGTTGGACATGTTTCACGGATAACTGGACTTTATTGTTACAGCCACCTTCAGCTAGCTTGACGCTAGGCGCACGGACGCAGTGTGAATACCAACAACTTCAATCCCATTCCATCACTCTCGTTTTTCCTCTCCAACGTCCGCCTCCGCACCATCTACTCGAAGTTTAGCCACGGCTAGAGCATGTCGAGTACCGAGACGCACTCCGAGGGCGCCAAGCCTCACGCCAATCCGGCTGTCGAAGATCATACTTCCAACAGCATTGCCAAGCTTGCGATCGCATCTCATGCAACCACCGCCGAGCACGGAATGTAGGCTAGACGCAGACATGATGAAGTAACGACGACTAACAAGTGATGATAGCTACAAGTGCGACGCCACCTCTCCTCTTCTTCGCCTCCCCGCTGAACTTCGCAACCACATCTTCGCCCTTGCTCTCACCCACGGAGAGATCACGTGGTCTCATGGCGCGGGTTGGTCTAAGGCCAAGAACTTGGCCAATCTTCTTTTTGTCTGTCGGCAGACGTATGCGGAGACTGCTCTTCTCCCATACTCATTAAACTCTTTTGTCTTCGCAACGATGAGCGTGCAGTCTATCGGCAATTTTCTAAAGCGCCGAACACCTACACAAATCGAGCTTATACATGAGCTGAGTTGCGAATATGTAGGTAGCAGAACATCGTATGGGTACTTGAGGTTCCCGGCGACCAACTGGATGGCTACATTGCAGATCTAGGAGAGCAATAACTTGTAGCTTAAGTAGAGACTCTTGATCAGCTTACCTCGGCTGGACAGTCCTTGGACGACGCCAATGTAACTTCTTTTCGAGCAACCTTCACATCTTAGAAAGAGGCGTGAGCGCATTGGTCGAGTGATGCTACTAAAGCCCATTCACTCGTCATTTTTTGTACCCAGCGCACTGACCCAGAGCGCGCATTCCAGCTTCTTATTCTCCTTATGATCCCTTCCGCGCAAGCGACGCTTTCCAACAACTCCAGCATGTCGACCTCGAAGATACAACGCACCAAGTATGGGACGACGAGCCGCGCGACTCGAAGTCGTGACTACATGTTCGAAGCCTACCGCTGTTTAATACTGTCAGCTAACAGATTCCGCCAGTACCGAGCGCAACGCCATCTCATCCCCACTCCTCCGTCTTCCCCCCGAGATCCGCAACCATATCTTCTCTCTCGCCCTGAATCACGGTTACATCCCGATAACCTTCCCATACCGCTCTCACCGCTGGAGGATCAAACGAACTGAACGCCGGGGCTTCAAATATCGCTACCACTACAAGCAACTCTGCGACTTCTTCTACAACCCCATCAGCTTTTCGTCAAGGTCTTGTTCCTTCAAGCTGAAAAAGCGGCCGATCCGCAATCTCACGCGTCTCAACCACCTCAAGCGGCCCATCAACCTGCTATTTGTGTGTCGTCAGATCTACGTCGAGACCGCGCTACTTCCCTACAAAGTTAACACATGGGTGATCGAACTAGACAGGCCCTGGGAGAGGATAAGAGAAGGGTATGAGCGGTACTATTGGCATGATCCAATGCACTTCCTCGAAAAATTGACCGCAACACAAAGGGAGGTCATGCAAGAAGTATGGTCTGTTTCCGAGTTTGGAGGCGAACATACGATATACATGGGGGCTGCGAAAGTATGGATGGAGCGTTGGTTGCCACGGCCGATATCTTGCGTCCTTGAGAGTATGAAATGTGAGGACACGAACATATTTCTGTTGCCACGAGGTGGCGGTTGACAAGGTGCAGTGGTCGCGCCTTCTCGCGGGTACAACCGAAGTGGGACTAGCTTCGTAATCACCTTCAGTAGCGCGATGACTAGACCCTTATTTATACTTCTTTTACTCCCATGCTCATTCTCTTCTACAACTCTCAAGATCACGTCTCCTTCAACCAACTTCACGGCCATCAGCAAGGACATGGAAAACGATATGTCGGCGTTAGATCAGCAGTCAGAGAGCGAGCGCGAGCAAATGTGAGCTGTCTGCGATCTCTAAATTAAATGACTTACACTGACACGTCCTTTCAGCACCCGGCGAAACGCCAAATCACCGCTTCTGAGTCTCCCCGCGGAGCTCCGCAATCAGATCTTCGCACTGGCCCTTACACAGCCCACCATTGAGATCTTCTGGTCCGAACCGCACTTGAAGTTCAAGATTCATGAGGATTGTCGGCCAGACTACGTGCGACAACCGCTCAACCTTCTCTTCGTGTGTCGACAAACCCATGCTGAGACTGCCACTCTTCCCTACAAGCTTAATACCTTTGCTGTCGATTTCGTTTACCAGCGTGATCCTCCGAAGAACTTCCTTTATCAGAGGACAGTGGAGCAGAGGGAAGTGATGGGCAGTGTCAGCGAGCGAAATCCAAAAACTGGAAAAGCTGGAAAGCCTATGTCCGCAACGAGATGGATGGCTTCTATGGAAGCCGAGGCTTTCGTGCTCTATACTTGGAAACGAGGTGAGATGGAGGCTTGACTGCGCCGCGATTCTCCAGTTGTGAGAGCGAGTGGATGCATGCGTCTCATTATCTATTTGTCTATGCAAAAAGGGGTTTAATACAGCCAATTTCAATCCCTGCGAGTGTGTTTTTGAGGTGTAGAGCTACTTGTCCCGTGCACCTACCTTGTGCGATCTGCGCACTGACTACGAAATACATCTCTTCTTTTGCAGTCCACCCCAGTTTCTACACACACTTCCTCGAACCCTCTTCGCAACACCCATCGCCGACTCCGACGTCAACATGAACACAGAAGAGGAGCAAGAAGAAGCGCGCGCTCACATGTAGGTCTCAAAATAGGGCGAAGCTCTCGGAAGTAGGTGCTAATACATAACTGCAGTACTCAACGCAATGCTACCGCCTCTCCACTTCTTCGTCTCCCCGCAGAGATTAGAAACATGATCTTCGCCTACGCCCTGAGTCACGGCGACACCAAGCTACACATCATTCCCAGTATACAAGACGGACCCGGTGGAACAGGCTGCTGGAAGCATCGCAGCTGGCCAGATCCTGTCAACGTCAGTCTGCTCTACGTGTGTCGCCAAATTCACCTCGAGACCGCTCTACTTCCGTACGAGCTCAATATCTTTGTGGTCTACGGTCACTACAACGCTGTCAAAGACTTCTTCGAACGTAGAACAACGGCACAAATCGGCGCTATGGCGAGAGTTGAGAGGGGCCCGCAGGTGAATATGGGCGTGCGAACCGCGAGTGACTGGTTGGACCGACTGCGATATAGAAGCAAGGGTGTCCTATTAAGACACAAGGACATAAACTCGCGACCATAGAGTAATATGGCAGATGGGGGGCAATGCTCATTCAACTCTTTCTCTATGTTGAGGTTACATCGTGTCACACGTGACAGTGGTCAATTTTTTGATCCAGGACTGCTTTTGTCTAGCAATTCTCCTACGTGAGAGCAGCGTAATCCAACAGTGAGACAGCTCTCAATTCCCAACCTCACCTGTTCTTCGGAATCGCCAACTAGCGCGCTGACTAGTCTCAAGCATATCTCTTATGACAAGCCTTTTGCTTTTATACGCGCACCTCCATACCTAGGTCAGCTGTCTGCTCACACCCCAACCCCGAATCCAGCGCGTTCACTTCCGAGATTCAACCAAAGTACCCCAGCGTGTACTCCTCCAGAATTGAGGTGAACAAGAAGCGCGCAATCAAAGAGCATGCGGAGAACTTGAAAGTCGAGGCCGCGCAACAGGACCAACGGCGGAACCAGATGTAAGTTCTCTCCTAAACTGATCATTTTGATGGATACTAACACACTCCGCTTGCAGCACATATCTCAACACAGCAACATCTCCGCTTCTACGCCTTCCAGGGGAGATCCGCAACATGATATTTGCGCTGGCTCTTACCCATCATGACGTCTTTATGTTCGATGGAGTTGTCACCAACGTTCAACAGCCAACCAACCTGGTTCGGGTCTGCCGTCAAATCCACGCCGAGACCGCGCTCCTCCCATACGCTCTCAACAAATTCATCGTCACCAAACCTTTCTTAGGAGTTATGCGCGATGCTTTCACCATCAGCAGCCCCGGCGGACTATTCTCATTTCTCGAGGCTCGAACACCGGCTCAGATTGGTGTCATGACCAGTGTACGGAGGTATAGGTCTTCTAAACGTGAGAGGTCTGCGACTGAATGGCTGGAGATTAGGCGGGTGCTTTTAGGGCGCAGCTGAGTCAGATGCTGAAAGCGTCGATATCAGATTTCGAGCTCAGAAATTCCAACATGCATGTCTCTTTGGTCGTCAATCACTTCGCACAGGACTACTCTTTCCCAACCTACCGTCTGTGACGAAGCGGTGTAGTGCGGGGGAACCAGCTTCCATCTCTCACCGTGACTTTTACCTGTCCTTCGTGCTAGTCAACTAGCGCGCTGACGAGCAATTACGTATAACTCTGTTCCCCGCCCTACCTTCTTTCCTATACTCACCCCTTCACCTCCGTCAGCTACCTGATAATAATCCCAAGCTCAGCATGTCGCTCCCCGAAGAGCAGCAGGAAGACACTAGCTCTAGCATGATATCCTCTGGAGCGCAACCAGAGAAGCTCAGTATTGAGAAGAAGTTGGCGTTTGAACAGCTCAGGATCAAGGCCGCGCGAGGAGAACAAGGACTGAAGGAGATGTAAGTTGGCCTCCGATGGAAATAGTTTCACTACGTCTAACTCAGCCGTCCAAATAGCACCTACCTCAACGTCACAACCTCGCCTCTCCTCCTTCTCCCAGCTGAAATCAGGAATATGATCTTCGCCCTTGCTCTCGATCATCAAGATATCTTGATACTTAATGAGCGTATATACAACGAGATCCGATCACCAGTCAATCTGCTCCACGTTTGCCGCCAAATCCATGCCGAGACGGCGCTTCTGCCCTACAAACTCAACTTTTTCGCGGTAGCCATCTGGGAAAGACGGTTGTTGCCATTCCTCGAGCGCCGGACACAAGCTCAACGTGATGTCATGACAGACCTACCGGATTTCCAGATCATAGACACTGCGAACGAGTTGCTCGCCATGAGGAAGCGCATTGAGTATGACGGAATTTTTGCGCTGGCAATTGAGAGGATCTTGAAGGATATGAATGCCAGGCTGTCAGCTTAACTTCGAGTCTAAAGTTAGCACTTGCGATTGCAAGGTCTCTTTGATTTAGACACGGTCTTTGCGGACAAGACATGCAGTCCCTTCGATCTCGTTCTTTCTATAAAAGCTTGCTTTGCTTTGTTTATCTAGCAGTTAAGTGGTGCAGCACGTCCCTGACTTATTTTCACTAGCCGTTCGCGACTAGCGCGCTTACCAAAAATGATCCATTTCTCTTTCTCCTTTGCTCGAATCCTTCAACCCTCTAACACCTACCTCTTAGCCTCCGTTAACGACATGAAAACTACAGACGACCGCGGTCCTAGCATGTGCTTGCCCGAAGCGCAACCAGATATGCAACAACCAGAGGCCTTGGAGCAACGCTCGGATGAGATGTGAGCTAGCTATCAGCGAGATCTATTTGCTTCATGCTAACAACCTACCTCCAGCACTTACCTCAACGCGACAACTTCACTCCTTCTCATGCTTCCGGCAGAAATCCGAAACAAGATCTTCGACTTCGCAATTTCCCCTGGCACTATCACGTTGTATCAAGAATATGATTACCATACGGACATTGCCAAACCTAAGCACCGTCATGCTATACCCCTACTCTTTGTCTGTCGCCAGATCCACTCAGAGGTCGCCATACTACCCTACAAGGTCAACGTCTTCCTTCTTATTGTGGACTGCTATCTAGATCTCGCCGACTTCCTTAATCAGCGAACACAAAGACAACTTGATTTCATGGTCGAAGTGAGGTGCAGATTCCGCGACTTCCGCAGAGTGTACGTAGCATCTGCGGCCAGGTGGGTAGAGTGTCTTGAAAATGAAAAGGGTTTCCATTTGGACGAGGTGGAAATGCGATGGAGCTGAATTGAGGACAGCGAAGTACATCATCAATTTGACGCGTGAGGTCAGACTAATCTTATCGCTATAGCAGGTAGACACAACGGTCTCTTGCTCCTGACTACCAGTACACAGTGTGCTTCTCTCACCAATGGCAGTTTTCAAGTTCTTTGTAGCAGCCAAATAGTGCAGCAAAATCTCAAAAGACTAGGTCCAGGGCTACTGTGACCTTCACCTACCCTTTGCGACTAGCGCGCAGACTAGTCAATACATTTCTTTCTTATTCCAATGCCCCTTCCAATCTACAATCACCTCGTAGCCACCACCAGGTAATACATACAGTTGCCTACTACACCTCCTACTACACAAACGCACTTGCACACCACACCCAGGCTCATACATCACACTCGCGGTTCAGTAGCCAATTTTTGAAAACTACGCTAGACTCTTACACACCACACCACCAACTACCCGCACACGAGCGACGGCTCCAAATACTCGTTCCAAACATGCAGTCAGACAACAAGACAATAGCCGCGCACCAGACCCATCGCGCGAATGAGATGTAAGTCAGCCCTTCTACTTCCAACAGAAACGAGGTCGATAGATAACAAGTCGTGGCAGAACCCTGCGCAATGCAACAACCTCCCCCCTCCTCCGCCTCCCCGCCGAGATCAGAAACGAAATCTTCGCCCTCGCCATGAGCCACAGAACCATTTCCCTAGACTTCAGCCCCTCGACCAGAGATCACCAGATTCTAAAAGACCGTCACGCCATCCCCCCCTCCTCAGCCCCCCTACTCTTCGTCTGCCGTCAGATCCACGCCGAGGTCGCCCTACTACCATACCGACTTAACAAGTTTATAGTCTCAGGAAAGTATTTGAGCGCAATGCGTGAGTTTCTGAAGCGTCGGACGCCGGAGCAGCTTGAGCTTATGCGGGATGTGAGGTGGAGGTGGCCTACTCAAGGGAGTCCTGTGCGTATGTTTTCCGGGGAGGGCTGGCTGAAGTGGTTTGAAGATGCGGATGAGCAGGCTGGGATGGTATTGCGATAACGCAGAGCGAGACGAGCCCCTCATGACTCCCGAAATACATGACTACCACATACGCAAAAGGTACTCCTTATCAATTGAGAGAGATAGCAATCGTCAAAGTCCACCTACTCAAGAAGGTCCCGGGTCTCGGTGAAGGGTGAATCGCGCTCACGCTGTCGAAGAAGATGCGTTGACGTCATGTGAGCTCTCCAGGCAGAGCGCAAACGGAGGAGTCGGTCTGCAATAGGAAATGAACTTGAACGTGAAAGTGAGTGCGGGATTTTTTGCCCACAAGATATCGACGCGTCTACTTCTCACGCGTCTGTTGATCTTATTCCTCAACGTCGCTATCCCCTTCCGACTACGAGCCTACCAAACACTATCATGCATATCTAACCTGCCCCCATCCTGTCACGCACGACCCTTAAGAAGTACACTGGCTGGTTCCGCAGCAAGAACGGGTACCGCGCTATTGTAACATCCGACGGCGTGTCTCTGCATGTCGGCAGCATCAGCTATGTCCGCGGTGACATTGTCGAAACCTGGGACTTACAATGGTCTAACGTACCTTTATTCAGAATTGGTGGTGATTCGGCAGAGGAACGGGCACTTAACGCTGAGTTCTAGGCAACATTCCGTACAGCACCTGGTGGACACAATGTCTCCTTTGACATTAAGGATGGCAAGGTCACGGGCCTGCGTGCAGGCGGAGAACACTTTGAGCGCATCGAGCGGGGCGAATGTCACATCTTCTGAGTACCTGTCGAGCTTAGGCAAATGATCTGGGGCTATGCGCTTGACAACAACGGCGAGAACGTCCTGCTAAGCAGGCAGAAGAGGTCTACTATTACTAATAGTTATTTACGTATAGCTATTAACTACATTAATAAAGTATACTATAAGTTTATAAATAAAGCTACGTATTTTAAGCTTTAATATAATACTTTAGTATATATAAATATAAGAAAGTTTATTAAGCTTCTTAAAATAAATAAAAACTATCTCTAGCTTTACTTCTAATATATTACTCTTAGAATACTATAAAGTATATCTCTACTTATTTTTAGAAAAATAAAAAATATTTATAGTATATTAGTATACACTAAAACTAATCTAGTAGCTATAATCTAAGTTTACTTAAACTTTTAAAAGTTTAAAAGTATACTTACTAAAGATATACTATCTTTTATAAAGTATAAAAAAAGTATATAAAAAGCTATTTAAAGATAAAAGTCTATTATATATTAGCTAAGTAATTTTAGTATACTAAAATATTAGTAAAGTATACTAAAAGTAAATAAGTTAAATACTAGTAATATAAAGTTTTTTTTATTTAAAAAAGTATTTAATAAGGCTATATTTTATTTTTAGGTCTTTTTAGCTTTAAGAAAGATAGTAATATTTTATTATATATTAACTTCTTATTATATATAGTAGCTAATAGCTATTAAGAAGCTTATTAAGAATATAAGAGGCTAGTATAAGAATAGCGCGTAAGAGTATTATAGTTAGCAACTAGTGATTTTATTCTTGTAATAGTACTAATAGTCTCTCTATGTAGTCGCGGAGTTTAGCGCCTGGTCACAGTTCATCTACATCTCGAGCTAATGTCGTCGTGAGTCGCCGCTGCGAAGAAAGGGTTGTGCCCGCCTGCTGCCTTGACGTTGAGCCTGAGGCACCATCTCGGCCCTACTATTGCTCAAATTCTCCATGTGGCTGAGGCGAAGCTGCGCGATGGCGCAAGGCAAAAGAAGGGTCCCCTTCCGGCACCCGGAACTTCGCCAATCTTCGGCGATAAGAGCCCTGCCTGATCGCCCCCGCGCTGATTGGCTCGGCCAAAAGCGGTCATAGCGTACCTTCATCGAAGCTTCCCAAGCAATGCGCAATGGCAAACGCATGTTCTCACGCCATGTACAGACATTGGGATAGTGAATTCCAGGTTTTCGAGTGACAATCGATGGAGTGGAGCCTGCTGCGTAGTTTGGGCAGGCAGACAAGCGGATTCAGGCAATCTTGGGCTGGCGAGGCAGCGTGGAAGGGCATGGAATTGTTTGGAATCTTCTCTCGCTCGGCGCAGCCGGTGCATTTGCAACATCCCGGTTACTACTTTTAAGTCGACAAGCGTTCGCCCTCCCACGCACCCCAATATACACTGTGAACACGCACCTTGCCTCCGAGTCAGATACCCGTTGTTTCCTTCACCTTCTCGACCGCGAAGACTCCCGCGGCGACTCTCGGTAAGCGCCTTTTCGCTCATTGTGTCAGCACTTCGACGAGTTACCCGCGCCTTCTTTCACCTGCAAGGCTGAGCTGCAACCGGGCGACTACTGCGACTTGTGGCCCACCAAGACTTGACGCTGACTTGATTTAAGATCTTCCCGACACCGCGACTCGCGCTTTCCACAGATCACCCAGAGACCTTTCTCTATTGCCCCTCAACCCGACTTTTACGACCCCGCTAGCCCCTCTTCGACGTTTCCACACGACAACCACGAACCGCGACCATGGTCAAAGACACAAAGTTCTACGATATCCTGGGGGTAAGCACAATCATCTCCACAAACAACTCAAGGCCAGAAGTCTAACAACCCACAGGTAGCGCCAGACTGCGCCGAGTCACAACTAAAGACGGCGTACAAGAAGGGAGCGCTCAAGTGGCATCCCGATAAGAACGCCCACAACCCCGAGGCCGCCGACAAGTTCAAGGACCTCTCCCACGCATACGAAGTTCTCTCAGACCCCCAGAAGCGCCAAATATACGACCAATATGGCGAGGAAGGACTCGAGCAAGGCGGCATGGGCGGCGGTGGCGGCATGGCAGCCGAGGACCTATTCGCACAGTTCTTCGGCGGCGGCGGCGGTCCCTTCGGCGGCATGTTTGGCGGCGGCATGGGCGGCGGACGCGAACAAGGACCCAAGAAGGCGCGCACAATCTCGCACGTCCACAAGGTGTCGCTCGAAGATGTCTACCGCGGCAAGGTCTCCAAGCTCGCCCTACAGAAATCCGTCATCTGCCCCAAGTGCCACGGCGCGGGTGGCAAAGACGGCGCCGTCAAGAAGTGCGCTGGCTGCGACGGCCGCGGCATGAAGCACATGATGCGCCAAATGGGCCCCATGATCCAGCGCTTCCAAACCGTGTGCC